TACTAAGTTAAGCAATGCTGATGCATTGTCCAGACTAGAGACTATTGAGTGACTTGTGTGAAAAAGAATTTTATAAATATTTATGAACTCTTAAGATTATTATTTTTTTATGTGTGTGTTTCTTTTTCAAATATTCTCCTAGAGACTTGCCCAGGTGGCTAAGTTAAGCAATGCTGATGCGTTGTCCAGACTAGAGACTATTGGGTGACTTGTGTGAAGAAGGCTTTTTATAGACATTTATGAACTCTTAAGATTATTATTTTTTATGTGTGTGTTTCTTTTTCAACTACTCTCCTAGAGACTTTTAAGTATATCATAAAAACTTCTACTGCATTAGAATTGTTTAATTACTAATTTTTAATCATTTATATGTTACAGTTTCAGAAGAAGTCTTGTAGTAGGTATAGAAGTAACCTGTATAAATATTGTGTTATGATCTTTCAACTTCAGTATTGATTGATTTGTAGACTTTAGTACATAAGTCTCCTTTGTTTGACACCACATATTTGTCATATTTCAATAGGCTTTCACCCTATTTCATCTTGATGGGGGGTATGATTATGGGTGACGCCAACCAACAAGATTTATAGAGGGCGCTAACTCTCGTCTGGAGAGGCACCAAAGTTTAGTTTCAAGAGGGAGACCGACAGAGAGGTCATAGGAAAGGCTCGTGGGAGCCTTAATGAAACCGAAATATTGTATTACTTATATATCTCAGTTATTAGTGTTGTAGTTAGTATAGTTTGGTTTGTGAAATAAATGTTTAAAAATACAAAAGGGTGGAGTTATTTCTCTATGAGGTGGGGATAAGAAAGGGATGATATCACAAAACCTGGACATAAAATAAGCTAGTGGCGCCATCTATTGATGAAACCAGAAATAAAACATAATTTAACACTCATCTCAACACACTAAAAAGCACACTCTTGTTTTAGGAGATTATAAAAATTCTGTTGTCATTCCCTTCTTTCCATCAATTAGCTATAAAGTTGCACACATTTTGCAGAAATTTAACTTTCATGTTGTTTATTCTCCCTTCAATCAAATTCCGAGTTCCAGGATATGAATTCCTGGTGTATTCATAGGATTCCTTGGCAGTGTGGTTTAATTTACATTGGCCAAACTAAGACAGCCTTAAAATTTCGCGTCAAGGAACATGAAGCATATGATGATGTAAAGAGGGCACTGGCTCTCAATCGGAAGGCACCAAAAAGTTTAGTTTCCAAGAGGGAGACCAACAGAGAGGTCATAGGGAAGGCTCGTGGGAGCCATTAATGAAACCTAAACTAACTTGTATTACTTTATATATATTTCAGTTATTAGTACTGTAGTTTTAGTATGTTTTGTGTTTGTGCAATAAATGTTTAAAATACAAGAAGCTGGATTTATTTCTCTATGCGGCGGAGGATGAAGAAAAGGTGATATCACAATGTGTATACTGTATCATATCGCCAATAAAGTCTGCTTGGTGAGATTTGCATAGGCAAAGCGGAAAAAGTACCTATAATAATAATAAGGAAGCACTTCCGCAGAGAACCCGGTAAATGTAAACATTGCCAACTTTGGCGATAATAGTTCAAACCTGGTAACCAGGGGATTTATCCTTTTCGCTTGTTCGAAGTTTGCAACCATTCCTCTTGCATTCATTTTGTTGAATTATCACTGTCGTTGTTCCCATTTGCAGATTTATATTATTCTTCTCTTATTTATTATTATTTTTTCTGAATTTTTTAACAACGAATAGATAGAAATATTTTCGTAGATAGATGCCAGTTCATGATTCGGGATGAAAATGGGGTGAAAGCTAATTTGTAACACGGCTGTTCACGTTGTGTTCTTAATTATTAACAGCTCTAAGAATCATGAGGTTTCCATCTTCTAAAATAATTTGCTTCCGTAGGCCGCAAAAATGTGCATGTGCATTTTAAATAATTAAGTAATGCTTTTATTTTTATTATTAGTTTTGTCATCTAAAATTGTGAGAATAATCAATTTGATGGCATAAATTTTAACAAGATAATATATTGTTATGCTTTTCTACAATAACTTTCAGAGGATGGCAGGTGTGACATAAATAGATAATTAAATTGAAATAAAGAATATTATTTGATTATATAAGATCACAGAATAGTTGATGCATCCCCATGGTCATCAAAATTAGCAAACCACTGCTGGTGTAAGGAATATATTGTTTTCTTTGTTACTGGAATTTAAGACAAATTTTTTTTTCGTTATCACGTTTAATTCAGTACATTAATATTAATTATATTTTAAATAACTTTTATTTCCGTTATAAATGCTTATATATGTCTTATGCTTAATATATTCTTTTCTATGCTAACTTGAATTTAATAAAAATTTATTTTCGTATATCACGTTTAACCGGTTAGTTTTACATCTACATCCTTATTATCAGTGAATTTTTACTACCATATGCGTAATATATTGTTTTGGTTGCTAACTTGAATTTACATGCACTAAAAATCACGTTTACGACTCGGCTCATCGTCGATGGACCGCGAGCTTGGCGAGTAAAAATGCAACGGCGCCAACGGATTCTCTGCGGATGAAAACCCAATAATAATAATAATAAACACTATGAATTTGAAAGAAATTACCGTATTTGGCGGCATATAAGACACACTTTTTTTCCTAAGTTTGGTCTCAAAAAAAATTACCTGCATCTTATACGTGAGGGTAATTGCATTCAATAATTGTTTATTTGGCTTTTACGAAATGCGAGAACTAAAAGAAACCACACTATTGAAACTTTTTTTCCTTGTGTGTGGCCGTCTAAATAAGGATGCGTCTTTTATGCCGTCAAATACGGTAATAGCATGACAGAATCAACAAACAGTTTGGCCCCCAGGTGACTTCACTACTGGGACCAAGGCATATTTATGGAACACCTTTGTAATAAAATTACCATCATCTGCATATTATTGAAATAAGTGAATCACTAGCTAAAGAGTGAGGAGAAGACTCTTACGAGCTAAGCAGAGAGTTAGATAAGAGGTACTATTGTTGGGTCTTGGCTTCTCTTTCACAGGCGCCAAGAAACATGACAGGAACATAAGTACCAATTTTACATAAGATAGAGCACAATTTTATACATGAAACATATTACAGTTTTAAGTCTGCTTAGAATGTGTTAGCAAATCTGTTATTATTGTTGTTAAAATCAGTAAAAACTACTTTTAATTTTTTGTAAAATATGCATACAAGTAACAAATTACGAAAAGACATAAGCTCATGATTCCTATGGTTAGATATAGAGAAAGGTTAAAAAATAAAAAAATACACCACGTGACACGATTAAATAATACGTATCCCCCCTCTGAAAAAACGATTCTTATTTAATCCTCTACATAATTCTATAATAAGGAAAAACTCAAAACATACCTCACTCCTGTATCTCTCACAAACAGCTGTAGTTCTATTTCTTGGTCTTTTGTCAAATAATTCTCTATTTCTTTGAGGATTAGGTTTTCGCCTAGGTTCAGGTCGCGGTGAAATACTTTCTTTGACTCTTGGTAAACGCAAGTATTTATTTGTAACATCTAGGGATTTAAAAAAAAATGGAAACTTCAAATACTCACTATAACACGATACAACGTTGATTTTTATGCATATATAATTCTAGTACGTGAAAACAACTTTCTAACTACAGTGTTTTCACGCTAAATAGTACATAACAGTGTCACGTGAAATAACGAATTCAAATTTCAAAGTACGAACAACGATAAACAGATTACGCAATTCTAATGACACGAATTATACTAATATGAATAAAACACCGTACGTGATCTACAAAAATTTTTAAATAGAAATTCACCTTGTTTTGATTTCGTTTCCGAGTTGGAAGACCTAGACGATGATGTACTTCGGGTATTTCCTTTCTCCATTTCGCCCACTTCGAATGGACTTGTTTCCAGTTTTGAGGGTGACACGAGGAAATTCGACAGAAACTCCACTAGGAGCTACACAGTATGCTTCCGTATTCATTGTAAATCTATTTAATAAGCCATATTCAATTTAAAATTTGTAAAGATAGACTAAAATTTTGATTTAAATTTTCAAGATTCGGAAGATGTAGCAAAATAACAAATTTATAAATATATGATAGAAACGTATGCTAAATATCCTCTTTCTTATTCTGTGTATCTTATTAAGTAATCCTATTGAAAATGTATTTAAAAAAATCTGAATAAAAAAAAGAAATTTCGTTCTCAGCCGCAACCTGCGACTATTGGAGATAAACACACTGTCGTCGCAATATGGCGACGGAATGTTTTTAAAGGTTTTTACGTTTGAGAAATTCCGTTGCCAAACCAAAGGATATGTTTTGCATGTAAGAATGAATATGACCAAATTTCTCTAGATTAGATGAAAATGAATAAGCATACAAGGAGATTAGACTTGCAGTGGAATTATTTATTTTGGAAATAAGCAGAAAATAAAGAATCATTCTTTTCATAAATGATTGACTATTACAAGATCAGTTATCGGAAATGCAAAATATGAATAAACTGTGTTTTCGATGTCGTGAAATTGTCATTTAAAACTTCACACACTAAATTGCTTTTTAGGAAATTATAAAATTTGTTTCCATGCAATAATATTATATGTATATATATATTATATTCTTATCTAAGCTTTAGATTTTTGTCAATGATTTCCTTTTCAATTCCTGGCAGCTTTAGATCTCGAAGAATATTTATCTGCGCGCATAATGTGATTCGCACGTGTTGTGTTGTTTATTACATTCTTTACAAAACGCGAGCACTTGTTTTTGAAGTGATTGACTAGATATATTTTGTAAGAATTTGTGCGTATCTATAAATTAAAAAAAAAATTGCCTAGAAATAGATGATTTTTATTTTTTTTTTTTACATATTTCATAACTGATTTGTATTTTATTCCTATTTTACAGGAATTTCATCATTTGTGGATTTTGATTTTTTAAAATTCAGTTTTAGCCATGAATTAATATTATGTATAATCTGTAAGTCTTTGCGGAAGCATGTTATCAAAACGACTCCAAACTTCAGCATTTTAATGCCAGTATTTTTGACACCCAGTGTAGATTAAACATATTAATTCAAAGTGAAACAGACCTGAATTTAATTTGCCATGTGAAAATATTTTAGCTGGTGCTCTAGGATGGTGTCATTGCCTCCTGGAACCGGCCATGATTAAGTTCAGAAGATTCATGGCATCTTCTGTTTGTCTGACTGATTTCATCATAGTTATATATGTGTATCTATGATTGGTCATCTAAATATTTGAACAATATCAAGTATTATTTTCCTTCAAGACACATGCCTAAAATTTACATTTCATGTAAGATCTAGCTTAAATTCTTGTCTTTGAAATATCTATGAATGCAGGAAGTTTTGTGACTTGGAAGTACCCTTTTTCAGTCCCAGAGAAAGGTATCTTTGCTCACTAGACAGTATCAGGTTTTAGTCAAATTAATGCTTTATTGCTGATTCATAATATATTATTGTACTTATTTTGAGTTTGAATATTGTTGTTATATACGTTAAAAATTGTTCAGTTTTTTGATTATTTGAGCAAACTAAATTGAATAATCTTACTTCATCCATGTGTTTTTTTTGAAAATCAGTTTGATTACTTAAATGCAAGTATTAAACAGATATATGCCTTGTATACTGCAGTTGGAACCAATTTTTCTTTCCCTGTGGTGTTACGAAAGTATATTTCTAAAAGTAACTTAGTAGTCATACAAAAAGTGCAAATGTGAACAATGTTTTTTTCCTATTTAGAAATAATTATTTAACCATATTTTATTTTATGTTAATAATAATTATTGCTCTATAGATATCATGGATAGCAGTATACTGTTCTGCTGGCATTTTGCTGTGACCATAAGCCTGATGGGCCTTGCTTATTTTTTTGTGAATTTATTTCTATTCAGGAATAAGGTATAGTATGCAAGTTATGCTAGTGATAATGATATTAACAAATTTGTTTTATTTTTGATAAAAAGATTTTAATTTAATCCTAATTAATTATGCTACAGGACAAAAGTTTACAAAATTCCAAGTCGGGGTCTGCAAAATATTGTGATATTATTTTTGGAACGCAAACGGGAAATGCTAAAGTATGTTTGAATTAATTTTTCTTTTTTCTCCTGTCTTTTATTATTATTAATAAAAAATTTTATTTGCAGTTTCCTTTCATATCAGGTTATAACTAAAAAGTTTAATTTTTATATTAATATTTCATTGATAGATACAATATGGTGCCAAACTGAATACTGCCTTGTAATGTAGATAATGTGAAGTAATTAATATAAATGTCTTTGTACTCAAATAAATAATTAGTGCTTTGCCCCTGTTGATGAGGTGTTAGTTTTGAAGCGAATGTTAACTATTCTGTGTGCTCAATTGAATAAGGAATTACGATACTTTACAAAATCTCGGAAATTTCTTCTTTGAAATAACAACTTTGTCGGATATAAAGTAAAATGTATCTGAAGTCTGCATTACTTGGCTGTAGCTAAGAAAAAATTTTGCCAGTAAGTAATAAATCATTAATTTATATAGTTTGATCCCCTTAGTTGTGACCATAAGCATAAATGCAGATGTACCATTTGGACCGATTTACTGTCAAAATAGGGTGGATGGAATCAGGGTGTAATCATTTCGTAGGAAAAAATTTCTGCGAATTATTTTTTCTCTGTTTATTTTCACAGCATTCAAAAGGCACAGGCATAAGACTACAAAATTACTTTTAAATAATCAAAGCTGATATGCTGATCATCGTTTATTATTACATCACATTTAATTCTGTGCATTTATATATTCATAAAAATACAAGTGTTGGCTAATCTATATTTAGAGTGCCTCTTGGATTATTGCCAAGTTGTTTCATATATTGCCAAATAGTTGTTTCATTTATGATAACCTGAGTAGTTGAATGTTATGGAAACCCTATAATGATGTGATTGATTACGTGATTGCAGTGAATTTGACTGCTGCGAAAATACTGTTAGGCTAATCTTTAGAATATGGTAACAGGTAGTTTGGCGACATTTTGATAAGGCGATAAAGGTTACTAGCTACGTCTAGTTACTAGCTATTGAGCTTTGACTGGTTACAAATTTTGTTCAGTTTTGGTGATGAGTAAATTTATTTTAACATTATATGATGTCATCATTCTCCTAGTTTTAAGTGAAAATAGATCTTCATGTACAAAGTCAAGGGAATGTGCATTGGCGAGTGTGCAATTCTCTGATTTTTTTATTCAAGTGAAAATAGATTGATGTGTACATGGGCACTGAGTTTATGCAATTCTTTGACTGATTATTTTGGTTTTGTGTAGCAGCTATCTTAAAATTGTACCTTGCTAACCATTTGCCAATTTTTGCCAAGAAGCACCATGAAATGTATTTTTATCCAGGTGTTTTCGAAGTTAGTTTTATTGTGTATGCATTATTTTATAATAAAACATAATAACTAAATTTTATTATATTCTAACTGTAATCAGAATTATTCAATTATTATATTTTATGTATGATTTTCATTATTGTATTATTGTAATTGATAATACACTGCTGGCCACCATAAATGCAACACCCTGAAGGAAGCATACAAATAACATGAAATTTACAACATGCATTAGTGGAGGTGAGATATGCAAATGATTAGAATTTCAGTGCAGACGCACATCACACACACCTGTGGCGCCATTTCAAAGCACTATTTAAGGCTTGGAGTTTTCGACGATTTCAAGTTTGGCAATTGTGTTTTTCTTGTTTTTTTCTTCAAAAAAAAAAAAAAAAAAAAAAAACCGATCAATTATGCCTTGTAGTAAACAGCAATTATCGTTTGATTAAGTATCCGAGTTTGACAGAGGAAGGATAGTGGCCTACCGAAGTGTTGTGGATTATCTTTCAGCGAAATTGGTAGTCGTGTTGGACGAAACCAAACAACTGTAATGCGGATATGTGACCGTTGGATGCGGAAGGGTACGACGGACCGACGTCTTCAATCGCATCCACCTCAGTGCACCACTTCACGTGATGACAGGAACATTGTGCTCGTGGCAGTGACAGATCGCTCAGTCACATCACAAACCATAGCACAGCACATTCAGTCTGCATAAAGACTTGCATAAATCTTCCATTAAACCTTCTTTTTTCCAGTAGTCATTTTTTGTGTTTTCTATATGGGTGCTTCCTGTCAGCATATTTTCATGAGCTTCTGTAATTTTTAATAACTTATCCATTGCCATGCCTCCAGTTGTGTTCCAGTTCCGTACAAACTGCAATATTTCACCCCATATGAATTCAATTGCATTAATATTGCAGTGGTATAAGGGCAGACGTAGAGCCATAAAACTGTGTTTTTCAGGCATTTAATCAAATTTATGTGACTTTTCTTTAGGGTTACTTTGTTTCAGAAGCTCCATAACTCAACTTTCCATAAAATTGGAGATAACTGTATATTTTTGTTAAGTAACCACTGTACAGTTTCTTCTTTTTGGCTTGCTGTAGTTGGACATTTATTTAATTAGACAGTGTAGTAAGAGACATTGTCTAAAATCACTACAGCATTTGATGGAAGATCTGAAATGAGTTTTTCAAAAGTCCACTTTTTTAAGAAACAAAAGAATTAATTTACCTCTAGTATTCCCCCGATGTGGTATTTGTTTTATATATTAGAGATATATAAGGTAAAAATCCCATATTGCCCCCAGCACATAAAACAATTAATTCTTTTAGATGTGTTGCTACTAAGTACAATGTCAAAAACTGCTTCAGATTGCCAACATTTTGATAATGCCATGTTGCTGTTCACCCGGGTTTCATCCAAGTAAATAAGAGGTCTTCTTTCACGACAAAGTTGTCTCACTTTTCTAAGATACTGTGTTCTTAATACAATGTCACTTATTTCAATTAAGACTTTTTTCTTGTTTTGGCATTTCTCCATACAAATCCAATACTATGTAGTACATTTCTTAATGTTTCTCTTTTCTAATTAAAATCTATCTTTTCTTGCAATGCAGGAAGTAATTGGAATTTTTTTTCTCCTTAATATTAAATTCATGAACAGTTCTTTGAATTACATCACATTCAAAACCATCTAAACCAATCCTATTTAATATTGCCTTTTTGGGCTTTTCTTTTTGGGGATTTGAAAACTGCCTCTTCCTCCCTTTCTGCTTTTCAGCGAACTTTCTTTATCATAGTCAGCGATATTCCTGCAATCTTGCTGGCTCTTTTCGTGGGCTGTGAGATGCAAATACCAAGTTCTCTATTCTCAGCTTCCATGTCACAAAACGTAATGACATTACATAGCAATTTCTGAGCACCACTGTGAAAAGCCTCTTTTTTTTAATGAACTGAACTCATGATAAAAACAATTTGTCCCTTATGCTTACATAAAAGACTGTAATATTGGTAAATGTAATGTTACAATCAACTGCGATCTAAGTAAATCCCAAATAAATGAGGTGGAAATGTATTGATTAATTTCCTTTCTTTAGTCAAGAATACATCTGCTTAAGAATATAGTTCCATGATTTTTAGTGGCCTTATCTTTAAAAGTAAGTGATGAAATATGCATTGTTCATATAAAATTCATAAATTATGAAAAAAAAATTGAGCATTCTTGTATTCCAGATGCAAGCCAATGTGAATTTTAGCATTTATTTCTGCAAATAAGAAACAAAAGAATGAAACGTGCGAACACAATTGACAACAGCATCACCCGATTACATGTGAACTTTCCCTCCCTTGGTCATATAAATGTCCTCTTTAAAACAAAGAGAGAATCTTCATGTGACCTCTCACCTGGCAAAATTGTGTTGTTGCAAAAGGGTCTTATTTCGAAGTAGGATGTGTTTCTGCAATTTAATTCATAATATTTTTTATGTTATAGAATCAGTTCATGAACTTTTGAATCCTACCTAATATTACCAGTGCACTTTTTGAAAAATGGGTTTTTCGGGGAGAACTTGGTGGGAAAAAATTTTTTTTCACATGTTGCTTACAAATTTTCCACCAAAATGGGTGATATTGAGACTTCCATAAAGAAACCTTCTTTTAGATTTTCCATTTGGTTTTAACCACCATAAAATTGCAGTTTAAACGGGAATCTCTATAGATGCTGGTAATAAATTTAGATGTAATTCTTAATTTGTCAATCATGGTTATCACTGAAATCATTTGAGATTCAAACAGAGGGAGAGTCTGAAATAAATGCTTAACACCAATGGTAAACATAATGACAGCTGTTGTGATATTAGAAAAGTTTAATCAATAATCAGTGTTGTTTAATAGTGAGTCATAAATTTATGGTTTTTGTCAAAAGGCCCATGCAAGAAGCCTTTTTGCTAAAATTTGGAAGTATGGGGAGCTACAACTATTTAGTAGTGTTATCTGGATGGTCAATGGAAAGCTTGATAGTAAAATGCTGCCCAATTTAGATTTTGGTTTTTATTTATAAATTTATAATCAAATGCGTAAAAATATTAAAAACTAACATGTAAAAAGCCTTTTCTTAACTTACTATAGGCTATTGTTTTGTTCTGGACTTTGTAATTCCTAAAATAAGACTGCAATTATTTTATTCTAATACATGCCATTTATTTATCTTTATCTGTTTGTAATTTAAGCTCTTTGCTGAAGATTTGGCTCAAACATTAAAAGCCATAAATTGGATTGTAGTTGTCCATGACATGAAAACATTGGATGATCCTGAAGAATATTTAAAAATACAGGTAATATTTAAGTCTGTTATATTCTATTTTATAATCTGTCTGCATTAAAAATATAATTATCATCATGGTTTTTGCATCATTATGTTATTAGAAATAATATGGCTGTGCCCTTTTTGAAAAATATAGCTATCAACTTGTTTTCCCTTGGAGGGATATTTAAATGTCCTAGAGATTAAGAGCCTCTAATGAAGTCAGTAAAGGCTTTGGTGGGATTGATGAAGATTTAAGGCTTGATGATGGTCAATGAATTTTATTCAGTAAATAAAATATATAGCCACTTATTTATACTTTATTTTATGTTATATTTTTCTAGATTATTCAAAATATATAATATTGTATTACAAATCTTGTGTTTAACATAATTGTCATGATGCCTTCTTTAACTTATACATGTTAATTAAGCACAAATTATTTTTAAAAACCACACATCAATTGCATAAATCACAAATTTAAAACAATACCAGCCATATAAAATTAAAAGAAGTAATAAAATTTTGAAAGTTGAGATGCAGTTACTTATAATTTAGATAATGCTATGTGAAGCAGGTGTAAAATTGTAAAACATGAGATGCATTAACCCGGCAGAAGGCACGAGTCCAACACTGACGTTGAGATAGTGCAGGGTGACTGCATCACCATAATCAGTTTCATTAAAAAAAATTTGTTATATATTTTATAGAAACCATTTAATTATAAACAATAATTGCAATATTTCATTTAGAAACTATACTTCTTTACTTAAAAAACTTATTTCAATATTTAACAAAAAAATCCATTCAAAATAAGTATATACCTAATCAGAAGTCAGATGCTAACATACACTTCTGGCAAACATACGAAGAATGAATTTTACATGAAAAATTGTCACATATTTTGCAAGAAATTGTAGTTTTATTGTTTTTGGATCTTGGACACATAGCACGTCGGCCTTTCTTGAGTTTTGGTTTCTTTCATAGGCGTTCATAGGCTTCTGATATACTAGAAGTGGCATTATCGATGCTTTCACAAAGCACTTTAGGAAGCATTGACATATTTTTTGTTATCTCTATGTGAGGTGCTGTATAAGAGATACAGCAAATTTTTTAGGAATTTTCTACTATTTCCATATTGTAAGTGAGGGGTCTTTGTTGAGAATAAAGCGACTCTGGTATTTATTGCAGTGACGCTCAACACAGTAAAAGACGACCATCGGCCATCTGTTGGTTTTTCGAGCTGTCGAATATAATGAAGACATTTCATCAATTTTATCTACACCACCTTTTGTTGCATTATGAAAGTAAATTATTTCTGGTTTCTTCGTATCATCACTTTCATCAATGACATCATCGCAATGCATTGTAGATAACAAAACTACACATTTTGATTTTTTAGGCACATACGATACTATTGTCGTGTTCTTTTAGAACCCAAATATAGATAAATAACTGTTCCTAGTTTTTGTTTGGACGAACTTGATAGGAATTTTAGCCTTGCTTCTGTTCAGGGTTCCTACAATAGATAACTTCTTTGACAAAAGTTCTTTTGCTAGAGGATAACTCATATACCAATTATCCATTATTACATTTCTGCCCAAACAAAGGGGTGCACAGGTGTTTTGTAATTTCAAATGGTGAATTTTCGCATCTAAAGGGACCTTCCGACTGTTGTTCTGCGTATATCTCCATGTTATAGCTGCAGAAAGTTCTTGAATCTACTAAGGCAAATATTTTGATTCTATACTTCGATGTGTTGCTGGGTATATATTGACGAAAGGAACACTGCCCTCAAAATTTTTCTTTGATAGTAACATACTTACCAATAAGGTATATCTTTCGGCAATTTTCATTGAAATTGGTAATTCTCTCGCAGCTGCCAGTTTGTCCAATTTTTTCCGAGCTTCACGATTGGTCACATTGTCTAACTGTAGACACCTGAGAAGAAATTTAAATCTTTTATATGACATTGTGTACCGTAAAATTTCAATGCCTGATCCATCAGTAGCCCACAAATCTTGCATATTTTTATGTGATGATATATGCAAGGTGTACAGATGTAAAAGCCAAAACAGTGCTCTAATTTCCACATCATTTGTCATTTTGGCATCCTGATCTCTGGTTCAATTTACCGATATTTTTTCAATATAAATATTTGTACACTTTACAATGGATCATATCATTTTAGCATTGAAAAACAATTCCCAACTTTCTAGATGCTCCGTTATATTGTGTGCAGTTCCTTTTAATCCTGGTAAATGAGTTATTATAATTTGAGAAGACCTTTTTCACTTTTTGATTTGGTTTTCCTTCCTGCCAAGTTCTTATTTTTGCTAATAAAAATACTTTTTACTAAATCAGGATTTCCATCGTCCTCATCATTCTGCTCAAATTCACTTTCGCTGTCTTGAGAACTGTATATTTCTTCATCAGGATTCATTTTCACTATCTTGATCAATTTCTCCTTCAGAAGACTCAACTTCATCTAATAGAGTTCTTAAACATTCCATCTCTTTTTCATATTCGGTAAATTTACATTTGTAAACCATTATCTATCAAATACTTCAACAGAACAATTTCAGAACTTAAATCCATCTGTATATATGGGAACATCACTAACCTATATCTTGCTTAACAGAAAGTTGTCTCTAAACAATCTCGCTACTGTTTGTTTCCACGTTATCATGGGATTTTAAAATGCTGTACTGCTTTAGGGGATTGCATCGCACAGGGAGGATGGACATGATTCAAATAAAAGGTTGTACATGTCATTAATCAAACATAGCTTACTGGGAGGTTCAGGTTGAGACAATATATTAAAATACTGCAAGATAGACAACTGCTCACATCTGAAATGGAGAGATGGTTCATAAAGAGTCGACATAAAGCCCTTTGGCAGGAGAAGTCCTGAAAGCTCCAGTATAAATATGTAGAGTTTGATAATGAACAGGATCTAATTTTAACAAGACTGAAGACCGAACAGATTCATAAACATCTGAGCCATAGTTCAGTCTAGAGTGAATAAGTGCTCTGTAAATGAGAAGCATAGAGCAACGCTCTTGCACTCTGGGAGGTGTTCGTAAAGACTTTTAGAATATTTAGTGTTTTCGTTCTTTCTCAGGCTTGACACATGAGAAAGTAAAGTCAGGTTTTGGTTGAACACGACTCCTAGAAACTTTTCTTCACGTGTAACTAGAATCATTGAACAGAATCATTGAACCATTAAGATATAACTCAGCTCAAGATGGAGATCTTGCTTTTCTACAAAAGTGCACTCACACGGTTTTCTGTTTCAAAAAAGTAAGTCTGTGCTTATGTGAGCATAACTGGATCCTGTTCAAAGAGATCTGTAATTGCCTCTCTACATGTCTTGTATCTGCCCCTCGACAGCTAATTTGAATGTCATCAACATATAAAGATTCTGAAAAGATGGGAGGAAGTTCCTTTAATACAGAGTTTATTTTTATATTGAAAAGAGTAACACTTAGCACACAGCCATATGAGGCACACTCTCTGCCTTTTCAAAAATATCTGACAAAACAGAGCTAATCCTTACTTGAAAAATTCTAGCCTTAAAAAAAAATAAAAAAAAAAAAAAAAATCTGAATTAAAAATGGTAATTTGCCACAAAATCCACTGTAATTAAGATCATGAAGTATACCATATCTCCTTATCATAAGCTTTTTGATGTCAGAAAAGATAGAGACAAGGTGATTTCTTTGAACAAAGGCTTTGTGAATAGATTTTTTCAAAAGGTGCATATTATATTATTAGTGGTCAGCCTTCCCTTTCAAAAACCACTTTGATAAGGTGATATTATATTATTCTTTTCCAAGAAATAGACTAGACAGTTGTTTACCATTTTTTTTAAAAAAGCTTGCACACACAACTGGTAAGAGTCATTGGTCTATAGTACAAGGGATTCTTTGGATCTTTCCTAGGTTTAGTTACAGGAATGACAACAGCTTTTCTCCATGCACTGGGAAAATTATGCTCTTTCCACAGCTGGTTTTAAAGGTCAAGAAAGGCATCAGTAACTTATAGGACATATGCTTAAGCATTTTGTAACTCATGCCGTCTAAACCTGGACAAGACCTATGTGTTCATAGCAAAGCTCTTTTTAACTCAAGTATCGTAAAATCTCTATTATAAAGTTAGGGATTGGAAGAGTTGAAAGCAATAGGATTTCTCTCAGAACATAGCTTGACAGAAAGAAATGCAAGTGAATAATTTCTGTTGGAAGAAATGGCACCTAATGTCTAACCAATAGTATTTGCAATTTCTCCTGTGGAGCTAATCACTCGGCCATCATTTCCCAGAAAGGAAAGTGAGTGGTCATTATATATGCTGCATGCTTTTCTAACTCTTAACCAAACCCGCCTACTTGGTGTAGAAGACGTTATTTATGGCACATATGAAATTCATGAATCCTTTTGACTCTGCCGTCTTACTTTTCGTACATTTGCTTTGGTTCTTTTGAACAGATTTTGAAGGCTGTAAGGTTTGGTAAAGTGGGGTGTGTACATTAAAAATCCCCAAGGTTTTCTCTATTTTATCAGTGCTTCTTGGCAGTGCTTTAAAACCTTAGTTTAGGATATTTTAGCATTTTTCCAGATGTTCTGGGAATAGGAAGCATAGCTGCCTGAATAAAAGCATTAGTAATTGCTCTACTACATCATTGATAAACGCATATCTACCTTTTCCTCAGTGAGCTCTGCTACAGAAGAAAGGAGTTCCAAGTTTGCTCTGTCAAGTATAAACTGAGGAGATCTCGACAGGGTTTGCTCCTCTTTGTGCAAGAGATACAAAAAGAGATAATAATTGCTGTTGTCAGGATCATTCCCAACACTGAAAGTGCAGAGCAGCAACAAAAATGGTGAACAGATGAAGAGCGGGAAATGTCCTTGAAGGTTCATGAAAGTATGCATCCTGCCCATTATTCAGGAAATGAAGGCAATAATCTTCAATCATCTGCTAAAATTGTCTTCCTTAGAATTTGTGTCTTTACCTCCCCAGAGTGGATTATGG